AGCTCCGTACCTCACGGTACAGTCCTTGCACCGCTGATTTTCCATATTCTCATATCAGATATAGACAAAAATACAAGCCACAGCTTCGTATCATCCTTTGCAGATGACACAAAAATCAGTATGAAAATTACCTCGGCTGAAGACATTGAAAAACTTCAAACTGATATTAATCAAGTTTTCGACTGGGTATCAGAAAATAACATGATGTTTAACAGTGATAAATTCCAGGTACTCGGGTACAGTAAAAATGAGGACCTTAAACATTATACAGGGTACAAAACACAATCAAATGTGCCCATAGTAGGAAAACAGCGTATAAAGGATTTGGGAATAATGATGTCTGACGACCTAACGTTTAGGGAGCATAACCAAGCAAATATTGCGTCAGCCAGAAAAATGATAGGATGGATTACGAGAACTTTGAAATCCAGGGATCCCATCACAATGGTTGTGCTCTTCAAGTCACTTGTGTTGTCCCGTCTTGAGTACTGCTCAGTACTCACTTCCCCCTTCACAGCAGGAGAGATTGCTGAAATAGAGGAAATACAGAGAACATATACGGCACGCATAGACGCGATAAAGCACCTAAATTATTGGGATCGTCTCAAAGCCCTTCAAATGTACTCACTAGAAAGAAGACGAGAGAGATATCAAATAATATACACGTGGAAGATACTGGAGGGCCAAGTACCAAATCTACACAGGAAAATAACAACGTACTGGAGTGAACGATATGGAAGATATATATATATATATATATATATATATATATATATATATATATATATATATATATATATATATATATATATATATATATATATAAATATATATGAAATATGTGTGTATATCACGAAAATAAACACGTGATTAAGAATGTGACAATGTCAGACCACGAAGGAAAAATGAAACAGGAAATTTCCTTAAGTATTTTCGTATATTAAATACATCTTCAGAAGGTCAAAAATGAAACAGGAAATTACTACAAAAACAAAAAAAGGCCAGCCTACTGATGAAAAACTCCCCAGACACCAAACAGAACGCCCTGAAGGATATATATATATATATATATATATATATATATATATATATATATATATATATATATATATATATATATATATATATATATATATATATATATATATATATATATATATATATACATATATATATATATATATATATATGTCGTACCTAGTAGCCAGAACGCACTTCTGGCTACTAGGTACGACATATATATATATATATATATATATATATATATATTGGTAGACCGGGGCATCATTCAATGGAGCCCAGCCCACCAATGACCACAAGCCAGAACCTGGCCCCCTCAGAGAGGCGCAGGGAACAATGGCCCCGGAAAACCCCCCCGTGGTCGGGGGCACCCCTTATCCGCCACCGACTTATATATATATATATATATATATATATATATATATATATATATATATATATATATATATATATATATATATATATATATATATGTCGTACCTAGTAGCCAGAACGCACTTTTTGGCCTACTATGCAAGGCCCGATTTGCCTAATAAGCCAAGTTTTCCTGAATGAATATATTTTCTCTAATTTTTTTCTTATCAAATGATAAAGCTACCCATTTCATTATGTATGAGGTCAATTTTTTTTATTGGAGTTAAAATTAACGTACATATATGACCAAACCTAACCAACCCTACCTAACCTAACCTAACCTATCTTTATAGGTTAGGTTAGGTTAGGTTGCCGAAAAAGTTAGGTTAGGTTAGGTTAGGTAGGTTAGGTAGTCGAAAAACAATTAGTTCATGAAATCTTGGCTTATTAGGCAAATCGGGCCTTGCATAGTAGGCTGAGAAGTGCGTTCTGGCTATTAGGTACGACATATATATATATATATATATATATATATATATATATATATATATATATATATATATATATATATATATATATTTCAATATTTATATATATTGAAATATATCTTCACCATATATATATATATATATATATATATATATATATATATATATATATATATATATATATATATATATATATATATATATATATATATATATATATATATATATATATATATATATATATATCGTGATTATCGTCTTTTCCAGCCTCTCCTCTCTTTAGAAAAAAATGTCCGATTCCTATCAATTTCATCGCAGAATGGTAATATAATTATACCCCCCTAATTCTAGAAAAAATATTGGAGGATATCCACTTTGGTAGCCGAGGTTACGGAAGCTACCATTATATAATAGGAACCCAACCGATTCTAGCCTAACTTAACCTGATGCAGACCCGAGAGTGTCTTTTGTTTTAATTGAAATGCATGCGGTTACAGAAGCTCCTAACATATAGGAGTTTCCCCTGCACGAACAGCCAGCACCTCTTCAACCACCACAGAAAACGCGTAGTCCACCCACACAGAACTCCCACACTAAACAAAATTGAACAAGTAGCCCTCCGACTACAGCAACCACCCATGTCTTTCAAACCACACCGACCATCCTCCGAGACTCCAACTTTGAAAATAGGTCCTGGCCAACATGACCACCAAGACAAACCACGTGTCAATAGAGACACGAGATTGCCACACAAATATCACCTGCCTACTAGATCTACTCTTTGAGTAGATCTACAGCAAGCAGTGATATCCTCCCAGTCATCTTCACAGAGGAAAGCTTTACAGACTGTGTGCATCATGAAGCCTTAAACACCTTGTGTGCTATAGAACCTTATTCAAACAGATAATTCACCTCACACAGCACCACATCAATACAATTCAATGTTTCACGCTCGACAAGCCACAATGTAAACATCTTAGCTCATCCAAATTACTCATGATTTGGATGAGCTTACCTGTCACTCAGGTAATTACAGGTAAATACTTTCCAACACTATGTCTGTGATAACCCTATTGTCAATGATTTCAGACCAAATGGTATTAGGTACTTTGAGCTCTGTAACTACTTATAATAATAATAATAATAATTTTTATTTACAAAAAGGTACAATGGGTATGTGAGATTACATAAGATTGTTTTTTTACATTCTTGCAAAGCCACTAACACACGTAGCGTTTCGAGTAGGTCCTTAATCTAACATATCAGGTAAGATGAAAAGGTATAATACGTGTAGCAAAATGTATATCAACATATAACTACAATATAACATTATAAATTGACAGAGGTGATTACACTGGTGAAGATATATGTCTAAAGTACTAATATTGGGGAAGAGGGTAGTACAAGATACATTAAAAGTTTGAAGCATCAGGTAGGAAACAATGAGGATGAAATTAAGTACGTTTTGGTTTTGCTTTTGAATAAGGCATAGGTTGGACATTTTGTTTAATTCATTAGAGAGGAAGTTCCATAGACTGGGTGATTTTATTTTCACGGAGTGTTTGCACAGATTTAGTTTGACTGGGAATATCAAAGATATATTTATTTCTGGTGTCGTGCTCATGGGTTCTATTACACCTATCATTGAAAAGTTTCAGATCAAGATTAACATTGAAGAACAAAGTTTTGTACATGTATATAGCACATGAGAATGTGTGGAGCGAGTGCATGTTTAGCATGTTAAGGGACTTAAACAGAGAGGTTGTGTTGTCGAAAGGCAAAGTTTCCTGTAGTTCTGGTAGCAGACTTTTGCTGAGTGATGATGGGCTTGAGGTAATTTGCAGTGGTTGAACCCCTTGCACAGATACCATATGTAAGATAGGGATAGATTAGCGCGTAGTATAATGAGAGGAGAGCAGAGTAGGGAACATAATATCTGATATTAGAGTGTATACCGACTGCTTTTGATACTTTTTTTGGCAATGCAATATATGTGCGTGCTGAAGTTGATTGATTGATGAAGATTAAGCCACCCAAAAGGTGGCACGGGCATGAATAGCCCGTAAGTGGTGGCCCTTTTGAGCCATTACCAGTATCAAGAGCTGATACTGGAGATCTGTGGAGGTGCGACTGCACCCTGCGTGACGGGAGATGTCTCCCATGCTGAAGTTCAGTCTCTTGTCTATATATAGGCCAAAGAACTTTTCCTCATTTTTATTGCCAAATGTTAAAATTGTCATCTGAAGTTGAATTTCAGTTAAAGATTTACAACCAAACAAAATGTAGTAGATGTTTTTTGTGTTAATATGACTTTGTTGGTTGACATTCATGAGTAGACTTTTTTAATTCATTATTTCCAATATTATTGAGTGTTTGGGGGTTGGGGGTCAGAATAGATGAAAATAGTATCGTCAGCAAATAGTATAGGTTTAAGAATGTTAGAAACATTTGGCAAATCATTGATGTATACAAGAAATAAGAGGGTCCTAAGATGCTGTCCTGTGGAACCCCTACTGTTAATGATAGAGTGGGGGGAGGTTATGTTATTGATGGCTACATATTGGTGTCTGTCACTAAGATAGGAACGATTATAGTTCAGGGCAAGGCCTCGGATACCATAGTGCTGAAGTTTAAGTATGAGGTAGTTATGGTTTACAGTATCAAAGGCCTTTCTCAGATCAATGAAGAGGCCAATTAGGAACTCATTTTTGTCAAGGGTTGTGTAGATTATATTAAACAGATAAATAATGGCATCATTAGTAATCCTTTGGGAACGGAAGCCAAACTTGCAGGGACTTATAATTATTCGCTTCTCGACTGTTTGATAACTTGTGTCTGGGTCACTAAGATTTTTGTGGTAAGGTTAGCACCAATTGACGAAAAGAAGCTATTAAATTCAGTTGCCGTTTCTAAGTTTGTTGCAAGTTTGTTTTATCTGATTGTTATGTGATTGTTGTTTAGATCCTAGGATGTTAGAGATGACTTTCTATGTACTTTTCATATTTATACACTCACGAATATTGGACGATGTTCTTGTGCTCTACCCAGCTTTTTCTATATTTTCATTAATTATACTGGAGGATTAGTAATACGTAAGATATATTGAGATGTATATTTTCAAAATCTAGATCTTTTCAGGTGTTTTTCATGACAATTCTGGACGTAAAACTGAAAATTGAGTTGGCAACAGTGGCCGAGTACCAACATCTCTTGAGACTAACCGCTGTCAACAACACGCGGCGGACCTGACGCTCCACCCGGGTGCCTGGCTTGTTTACGTTCTCTGTGTGCTTATCTAACAGTGCCAAGCATCTGTCAACCTGCTTGTTTTTTATCGCCAACAGTAAACGTATAGCCTCCAGGCTTCGAGTTTTTCCCTTTACAAGGGAACGACCGAGATACATAAGGTCCCGTGTTGTAGCTGCTTCCATCCCCACAACAACATCTCTCTTCCCAGCGGAATATCATCTCTCGTCAGTTTCACACTTAAGGTATGTTGGTATTTTTTGAAACAGTACTTTCGGCTGTAAATAGGATTCGTAGTATGTTGTTTCGCTAATTATACAACTTTCGTGTGGGTGCTCGTGCCCAAAAATGCTTTATCGAGTTCTGTAGTTTTTAAATTATGAAAAATCTTAGTTTTCCTTTTTGAAGATAATAAGATTGTGGTAATGACTGCTGCAGTCCACCAAAGCTGTAGTCCTGAGGCTCCGGGTTCGATCCCTGGTGGAGGCAGAAACAAATGGGAAAAATGTTTCTTTCATCCTAATGCCCCTGTTACCTAGCAGTAAATAGGTACCTGGAAGTTAGACAACTGCTACGGGTTGCTTCCTGGGAGTGTGTAACAAAAAGGAGGCCTGGTCGAGAACCGGGCAATCAAAATGGTAATCATTTGCCATTTTGGAAAAAAATCATGAATGCCTTAGTTACCCTCTTGTGCATTAATAAGAATTTTTTTGCACCATATCAGATGTGTGGTTAATAGACTATCAACTAGTTAATGCATCTAAGGATATGATTGCATCCAATTACAGAAGACTTTCTATTTCGGGATACTATCTGATCATATTCAGCATTCCAAGGATCATTAATGTTAATTTATCTAAACAGTTAAAGTGTTTAAGGAATTTGCCATAAAGTGTCTCACTAAAGGTGAGTTACTTTATAATGAAGCTAAAGTAAAGTAAATACAAAATAACTTGGTTGTATTAAAGCTTTGTTCTGTCATACAATCCAATAAGTCAAGAAATGTCAAGTATTAGGATGAAAGTACTGTACTCTTAATTGCTTGGATTTCGGAGGCTGCTACTCATTCTTGCAATACCCACATCGAATTAATTTCTAACTTTTAATTAATAGGACTTAGCAGCAGTTAGGGCACTGGTAAGCTGTGGCAATGTATTGCACAGTGTTTTGTAATGTCAGAATCTACCCATATATATTATTATTATTATTTTGATTTATATATACTGTACAAGAGTTCTTATTTTCTTGCACAGCAACTAGCATGCATAGCGTTTCAGGGAAGTCCTTAATCCTAATTTTCCCCTGAATACGACCTGCCAAATCTTCTAACAACCAGGTACCCATTCACAGCTGAGTGAACAGAGGCTACATTTAAGGATTGGCGCCGAGTAAATCCTCCCCGGCCAGGATACAAACCCAGGCTAAAGCACTCGAGAAACGCCAGATGAGTGTGTCATAACTTCGCCATTGGGACTGCATCATTACTTTATTGCAATTAACCCCTAAACTGCACAAAACGTCATATGAAGTGTGACATTGAGCTTACTTTTTAACATTTTCTGAAACCTCTTTCAAATTTTTTGTGCCTAATCTACTAGGCAAATGCTCCAACTTTGTCTAAATGATACCAGCGTAACTTGAAAAACAAGAAAGTAAAAAACAATTATAAAATTAAATATTGAAGACTTATAGAACAGACAGCTGTGCACACTATATGTAAAAATGGTGAGAATCTGTCAGAAACTCGATTTTTGGATACTGGATAATTTTTGGATTTTTGGATTTTTTTAAAGTCCTAAGTTCTGAGAGTTATGACTGATTTATTTGTTGACCAATCTAATTCTGTCTTCACATAGTTAGGAACGGGTATGCACTCTCCAGGATGTAAAGGTTACAACAAATTCAAGTAATAAACAAAGGAGGAAAACTTAAAACCTAAAAAAAAAAAAATTGTACATTGTTGAAAGTAACTTATAATAATATTGGGCAATGCATTTATATAATATATAACAAAATAGAGCATATTATTAACATGCATACTCATTATTTGTGTTATTATGTATTACCAATGTAATAAAGGTGCCAGTTGCATATCCACTTTGTGAATACTTCTTACTACTATTCTTCTTTTTTGTGTGTCAGACAGGTGCTTGCATCTCTTTATTATTGCATTATCCATCAATTCCAGTTAATAGGAGCTGTTCTTATCAACAATTTATTTTTTAAATATTCATTTAAAATCAATTTCAAGATAACCTTAAGATAACCTCAAGAATTTCTGAAAATATTTTAATGAAAGTTTCACGACGCTGTAGCCAATAAGTTGGAGATTTGTTTAACATTTTTAAGTAATTTTGACATAATTCAAATATTTTTTGCTTCCCTCCTTCCTTATGCTGAGCAGTTTAAGGGTTAACAGTGGTGTTGGTGGTATTGTATCGTTCTTGTGGCACCCACCAAAGAAATAAGCAAAGAAACCATTGCTCAGATCATTGCTTTAAAGGAAGCAGGCAACCAAAGTAAGGAAATACGTTCCAGTGGAAGAGGTTGCAGCTGGCAGTCTGCTGGTCAAGGGTTCTGGCTCTGGTCTCTGATAGGCTAAACATAACTGATGTGACCCAATATGGGGGCACCATCTCAGCAAGATAGTTGAGGGTGCCATTAGAGCTCTCTCAGGCAGAAAAATTTCATTACATTCAACACCTTTTTTTTTACATTATTCTATGCTCATGGCATAGCATAGTTTAGTTCATGGCATAGCATAGCATAGTTCATGACATAGTTTAACAATATAGGAAGATAAAAACAAAATTAGTGTGTTTCTGTAAACTGTACATTCTATTTTGGATACCTCACCTGCCTTTAACCCTTTGACTCCATATCCCATCATATGATGGGGTAGTTTAAAAAAGTTCAGACTGCACATCTTGTCATGTAAAGTAGTAGGGTACATTGTAAGATTTGAAAACTCCCATGGGTACACAGGGCTCACATCAGCTTCCTCAGCAGCCCGTCCTAAGGTTTCCCAATGTCAAGAAAATTTGTCAAATTAAAGTGTCCTCTCCTAACCTACCAGAGGACCCAAAACAGAACGGGACATAACCTCACTCTCTAAAGCCGCTTCAATTTTTGGCTTTATGTAATGCATACGAGTGAAAAGTAACATCCTGTGTAAGAGGACAGGTTGTTCTCAGAGCTCCAGTGAACAGATGCTATTTTGAAAAAAATCATGTACACTATTCCTGGGTGTGAAGGCACTGACTTTCATTGAACACCCAGGAAGGTGTTCCTGGATATTGAGTGAGCAACCATGGCTGGCGCATGCAGCATGAGCTAACAACACTGCTGTTCAGCTTGTGTCAACAGCAACACTTAAAAATGATGAAACATAAAAATAACTACCTGTACAGTAATATTATTTTGTGATGATAGTATCATAGACGATCCTGATTGTAATAAAGACTATGCACAATGTTCAAATATCAGTGAAGACAAAGCTATTTATGATGTTCACAGCTGACACAGATTAGGTTCAGTGCATGTATGCAGCATGAAATAACCATAACCCTTGAATGGTGCTAATTCTACCTGTATACCATTTTGAACTAACTGGTCTAACTAACCCACCAGAAATGACACACAATATGGAAAAACATATATATTTGCAAACATACAAGGCCTAAAGTAAAAATCAAGAAATAAAGTTCATAAATGGCATTCTAGAAAAGTCAAATTCATTATTTGGAGCATTCGCGGAAACCCATTCAAAAGATTATGGATGGTGAAATCTGGATTCCAAATTAAAATCTATATAGATGTGATTGAGAAATTAGGTCAAATGGAGGAGTAGGTCTGTATATTAAAGAGGAACTGGTATGCACAGAGCTCCTGAACTCAACCAATGAGGTGGTAGAGGTACTTGAAATCTAGGTAGTAAAAATAAACCTAATTATTATTCTAATATACTAACTGCCCGATGCAACTGTTGAGGAATTCACAGAGCAGATGCACAAAATAGAGAATATCCTTAATAACCAAGCAAACCCAGCTCCAGATATTATCTTCCTTGAAGATTTCAATCTACCAAGTTTAAGATGGAGAATGGCAAACAATAATAATATTATAGCGAGAAACCAACCTGGAAGTAATCAACCGCAGGTCAGAGAACTACAGAAATTCTGTAACAGATTCTCGCTCAACAAACAGATTACAGAACCAACTAGGAACGAAAACACACTAGACCTGATATTTACAAACAATGATGAACTAATCAGAGACAGTACAATCTCTGATACTACATACTCAAACCACAAGCTCATTGAAGTTATAACTAACATTAATACTGGTAGTAGGTCCAAGAGGATCAACAAGTGAGAATGGTTATTCAATCAATTCAAGGCAGACTCACTAACAAAAACTGCCACTGCTTTAACTGTTGTACAGTTTAAAATACCTACAAGTTTCTTACAGAATAAGGTGCAAATCAAGATCAAGAAAATACTCCAAATTATCAAACGTAGCCACAGAGTCAGAGTAGCGGTAGGCAGACCCAATGCGATGTGGTACGAACAATCCACTGGGTACTCCTCTTTCAAGCCTGGCAAAAAGCTATCCAAAGACATTGCAGTAGTCATACACTGACTCAGACTTGACTACAAGTGCTGCTGGGAAGTAATAGATTCAATAGTTAAAGAATGTCATATCTGTGGAACAGATACAGAAATGCCGCTATTACACTACTTACTGGAATGTGAAGCAGCTGAAGCCCTGCGTATCAAACTCAACATTCATCCAACAAGGGCAGCTGCATTAAATGCAAAATCCACAGCGATTACAAGGCTTAGAAATGCAGTTGAAGAATGGGATACACTAGTGAACACTGTGCATCTATATCTGCCACCAAGGTAATGTTATTAAAACAAAAGACTAAAACCAGTGCTTAAAACAGAGGTGGAAAAGAAATGGGAGAAAAGTAGGAAAAATTACCTCCACTTAAAACTTGACCCCAGATATCACAGTAACAAGGCTATCGGGAATAACCGAACTCAATTAAGGGCCCGTGCTACATGGAAATATTTTTCCGAGTAGCTAAATCTAAAATAACAACAACAATAATCAATTAAATTTCAACAATAAGAGGATGAACTGGGAAAAAATATAAAAGTTGCAAAACATTCAATGGGAGAGTCTTAAGTGACAAAACTCCCATACAGGGAATAGTGCAACTGACAGCTGAAGCATACAA